AGAAGTGTAGCTGTCATCTCCTGGTCTCCAGAACTTCCCTTCTGGGAAGGGGTAGGACTCTGAGAAGTAGACATGGCTCTCTCTTGTGGCCCTGGAAGCACTGGAGATTTATGCTGGGTTGCCACAGGTTGGAGCTGAGGACTTGGAGCCTCTGGTGCAGATTCTGAAAGCTCCACCTCCGCCCAGAGTACCCTATGTCCATGTGTACGAGCTGGAACCTGAAAAAAATGGGACAGTTGGGTTACAAGAAATCCCTTTGAAAAATGAAGTGAACAACATAACGGGACCAGGAGCACATCTACAGGGATACATGCTTGTGAAAGGAAGCAGCAGAATCTCACTTACTTCCTATGGACAGTAAGGAATACCAACATGTAGATTAGCACAGAAAGAAAGGCATCATTTCTGCTCAGTACTAAAAGAAAAGATTTCTGCCGATTCCCTCCCTGCTACATGAACATCAATATTTTGTGCTCAAAAGGCAGGGGAAGGAGAATGATAAATGGAAACTTAAAGCAGTGCTACGCAGTCAAAAAAATGTTTGATAGGGAACTAAGAAGCCTGAGTTCTGGTCTCACATCTACCTTAATTATTTGGGTACAGATCTATCTTTAATTATTTGGGTACCCTTAAAAAAGTAATTTAAGCTCCCTATACATCACGTTCCCATATTGCAAACAGGAATAATAATACAGTTGTAGGATGTTTTGAGGATAAAAAAGTGGATTTATATCCTTTATGTAAATAAAAAGAACTCTACAAATACAAGCCATAACACATTATGACTATTTTCATCCTTATCCAACAGAAACTTATGCCCAGCTTTTACTCAACCACTGGGATGCCAGGACTCCCACAGTCACAGCATGCACCTCCTTCTACTTACTGGCCGTCCTAGTATATCAATCTGCCTTTCCAAATCCTCCAACAGGGTAACCACCTCTTCTCCATTCTCTAGCTGATGTTCCTTAACCAGGGTCTGGAGCTCCTCAGGCAGGATGGTCAAGAACTGCTCCAGCACCAACAGCTCTAGTATCTGCTCCTTGGTGTTCAAATCTGGCCTCAGCCACTGATGGCAAAGTGCCCGGAGTTGGATCAGAGCTTCTCGGGGTCCTAGTGTCTCCTGGTAGCATAACTGCCGGAAGCGTAGGCGGAACAGTTCTTGGCCAGGAGGGTTATTTTCATGTAGACTAGATTCCTGGTCCCAACCATGATCCTCCTCTACTTTAACGATTACAAGGTCCTCTTCAGGAGCCTGATCTGGTGGAGACGAGGCTAAAGGCTTTCTCGATTCTGTAGCCATTTAGTGCTGGAAAAGCTCAGGAGCCTCGTTTCCTCTACTTTCTTTATCTTCTTAAGAGAAGGTTTCTTTTCTATGGACACTTCTTCAGGAAGAGAAAATGACAAATAGTGTTAAGGCAAATCAAAAGTCATAGTAACTTACTAAGATATCTTAACAAGCTCCCTACCATGACATGGGCTTCATGGCATGGTCATTTAAATGATCTCCACTGTTCCAGAAGTAACTCCCTTACCTCCTTAACCTTCTGCAATGCCAGCCCTGCCAAACCCACCCAGAGAACAACCCCTTCCTTCTGCTTTGTTTGGGGATGTGGAACATGGCTAAACAAAGTCAGGAAATCATGTCTAATTGAAATTCTGTGTTTAACTTCATCTGGCCCTCAGTGCTCCTCATTTAACCCCTTTTAGCATTTGTTACACCAGCTGTATTAAACTGTTTCTATACATTTCAGCTCTTGACCTTTCCCTCGCTCTTAACAGATGACACTAATTTCCATGTAATAGGTCAAGGTCTTGTCAAGAACTTACATGGCTGGCTGGTTAGCTCTCTTGGGAAAGTATGGTGCTACCCCAAGGTCAAGGGTCCAGATTCTTGACATTGGCCAATTGCCAAGAACTTTCCTAACACTGTCCTCTTCTCCACCTAACATTCATTATTCTACCTGCGACTCCCCATCTTCCTTCCTATAAAGGCTATCTTCTACTATGGACCTTATCTCCAGCTTATGCTTCAGAACTTTCTGGAGCACTGCATCTCCAGGAAACCTAGATGCTCTATTAACACCTACAACTCAAGAGTCTAATCCCACACACTAATGACCTTCCAGAATGTTATATAAATAAGATCATATATTATGTAGCCTTTTGAATCTGGCATCTTTCATGCAGCATAACACATTTGATATTAATCAATGTTGTATGTACCAGTTTATTCCCTATATGGATGAGTGTTGGTTTATCCATTCCCCAGTTGAGAGATATGAGTTGTTCCTAGTTTTTGATCATTACAAATAAAGCCACTATGAACATACGCACATGTATTTTTGTGTGAACATAGTTTTCATTTAACTCAGATAAATACACAGAAATAAAATTGCTAGGTCATAAAACACCTGTAAGTATAACTTTATAAGAAACTGTTAAACTTTCCCAAAGGGGCCACACACTTTTCATTCCATTAGCAATATGTAAGAGCTGCAACTGTTCCCCATCCTGACCAGCACTTGATACTGTGTTTTTAGTGGTTTTTTTTTCCCTTTAATTTGATATTCTAACAGGTGTGTAGTGATATTTCATTATGGTTTTAATTTGCATTTCCCTACTGGCTAATAATGTTAAGCATCTTTTTATGTGCTTATTTGCCATCCATATATCTTCTTTGGTGAAGTATCTGTTCAAAACTTTTGCCTATTTTTAAATTGGGTTTTGTTTTCTTTTTTTTAAATTAAGTTCGGAGAGTTCCTTATATTCTGGATACAAGTCCTTTATGAGATATGTGATTTGCAAATATTTTATCCTTTTCATTCTTTTAACAATGCCTTTTGAAGAATAGAAGTTCGTAATTCTTTTGAAGTCTATCAATTTTTTTCTTTTAGAATTGTGCTTTTGGTGTCATATATAAGAAATCTTTGCTCACCTCAAGGTCACAAAGATTTTCTCTAGAAATTTTATAGTTTTAGATTTTACATTTAGGTCTATTGAATTAATTTTTGTAAAGAGTTTGAGGAATGGATGGAGGTTTTTTTTCTTCCCGACTGCAATCAAATTGTTCCAACACCATTTGCAGAAAGGATTTTACTTCTTCCACTGAATCATCTTTGTACCTTTATTGAAAATCAATTGAATATATATATATATATGTGGATCTATTTCTGAAATCTGTATTCTGTCCCATTTACCTACATGTCTGTCCTTTCACCAGTATAAAACTCTCTTTTTGTGGCTTTTAAAATCTTGAAATCAAGTAGTGTGAGTTCTGAGTTCTGCAACTTTGTTGTTAGTTTTTGAAATTGTTTTGGTTTTTCTAGTTCTCGTGCCTTTTGATAAACATTTTAGAATCAACTTATTCCCACAAAAAATCCTGGAATTAGGTTTGTGTTGAATCTATAGCTCAGTTTAGGGACAACTGATATCTTAATATTAATATTGAGTTTTTTATTCCATCGGCACAGCTTATCTCTTCACTTAAATCTTCTTTGACTTCTTTCATCAGAGCCTTATTCTTACCTACTCTTAAAGGACAAGATAAAATACTGTCACCTTTAAAAATCCTTTCCTGATGACTCTAATTGGGAGTTATTTCCCTCTTACTCTATACATCACAAATTTGCATTGTTTTAATGTTACTTTTCCCATAATTGTATATAATTAGTTACAAAGGAGTTTTGACTTCCTAACTTAACTGTATACTCCCCGTGAGTAGAAGTCCATAACTTTTATCTTATTGATGGGATTAAGGAATCTATATTTACAATACCTAACACAGAAGTGTCTATATTTGTTGTAAGAGTGAGGTTTAAAAACGAGATCTGAGGTCCAAAGAGTCCAATTTCATGGCCTTATTTCTTTGTAGCATATATGCCTATGATTTATATCCTTGGTATAGATATTACCTCTTGCCTACAGTGGCAGCAGTAACTGTTCTTCTTAGCTTTGGCTATGCTTTTCTCCCATTCATGTTCCACAGTGTTGCCTGTTGTGGGTTGATCTGTGTCCCCCAAAAAGAAATGTTGAGGTCCTAACCTCTGGTACCTGTGAATGTGACCTTATTTGGAAATAGGGTCTTTGCAGATGTAATCAAGTTAAGATGAAGTTACACTGGAATAAGGTAAGCCCTTAATCCAATATGACTAGCACACTTTTAAGAAGAGAGAAGGTCATGTGAAGACACCAACACATAGGTGGAAGACAGCTAAGTGACTATGAAGGCACAGATGCAAGCCAAAGAATGCCAAGGACTGCTGGTAACAACCAGAAGCTAGAAGAGCACTGCCCTGCTGATACCTTGATTTTGGACTTCTAGCCTTCCTAACTGTGACAGAATAAATTTCTGTTGTTTTAAGCCACTAAGTCTGTGATACTTTGTTATGATAGCCCTGGGAAACTAATATACTGCCAGAGACTTTTAACAAATATTTAACATAACTCACCTCCTTTATTTCAATAGGAACCAAACTCTAGCATGGTATGCAAGGCTCTTTATGAATGAAACCTGCCTGGCTTTATCTGCTGTAAACTCACCTCATACAGCCTTTCCTGACTATATGTGGCTTTCTCGTACTTCCATTCTATTGGAGTACTCTTTACTCTAGCTCAGTGGTTCTCAACTGGAGGCAATTCTCTCCCACCCAGGGACCTTTGACAATGTACAGAAACATTTTTGGTTGTCACAACTAGGGGGAAGGGGTGCTACTAGTATCTAGTGTGTAGAGGCCAAAGATGCTTGGGCCGGCCTGTGGCTCACTCGGGAGAGTGCGGTGCTGATAACACCAAGGCCATGGGTTCGGATCCCATATAGTGATGGCCGGTTGGCTCACTGGGTGAGCGTGGTGTTGACAACACCAAGTCAAGGGTTAAGATCCCCTTACCAGTCATCTTTTAAAATAAAAAAGAAAGAAAAAGATGCTACTAAACATCCTCCAATGCATAACACAGCCCCCAAAACAAGGCATCAAAGCCAAGGCTGATAGATCCTGGTCTAGCTGAAACCATTCAACTCTAATTCTAACTTACCTATTACCTATTTTATGAGGTCTTCTCTGACACCCCACACCCCCCGGCATATTAAGGTGCTCATTCCTGCCAAAGTATTTTTTACATGGTCCAAATATGGGACTCATCACATTGTGTAGCGTATTGCAAATGCTTGCCTATGGCCATGACCTTCTTGCAAATATCTGTGTGGAAGTGACCTTTTTCTCTGTATGTCTTTTTAAGTAGGGAAGTTATATTACATATGTATACTAGGAAGATCATAATGGCAGCACTGTGGAAAATGGATTGGAAAAAAACAGAATCAAAACCTTTCAGGTTTGTTTGGGGGGCGAGGGGTGTTGATTAATGGACTCTCCAATCTAATGAAAACACAGAACTTCTCCACAGAAAAATGCCCATAGCACAAAATTTCACAGTCAATTTCAGCAAAGTTCACAGACCTGAAACCCATCCAATAATGCTAGGAAGAAAACCCCTATTCAGAGAGTATGTAGAAAAAGGAAAGGGAATTTGAGCATTATCTTTAAAGTTACACAAGGCTGGGAACAATAGTGTATGGAATAAGCTACAAATCTAAAGAACCAAGGAGCAAGAGTTAAGGTTAAATATGGTGATTAACATCAGGGGTATAATTCACGGATTAGGACTTTACAGAGAAGTGGAAGGATTTGCTAGAATAGCAAGATTTGGGGGAAGAGTGAATTTGGGCAAAACGTTGAGATTTTGTGAAGAGTTTGAGATGAGGGGTAATCAATTTTGTTTTGAACAGATAGGATTTACATCCATGATTTTAAAATAATTTAATTTTTTAAATTAATTAAAATTTAACAAATTCTCAAACTTTTTAAAAATAGCTACTTATGGGTTAATGTTAAAAACTTACAGGTTATTACCATGGTACATGAATTCCAAGTTCTAATTGTTTAGAATGTGATGCTATATTGTTATAATCTTACCAAGTCTTCTTGAGAATTTCCTTAAAGCTAAGGTTCATTTTTATTATTATTATTATTTTTGCAGCTGGCCGTTACAGGGATCGAACCCTGGGCTTTGGTGTTATCAGCACCATGCTCTAACCAACTGAGCTAACTGGCCCCAAGGTTCATTTTTTTTTTTTTTTTTTAAGAAGATGACCGGTAAGGGGATCTTAACCCTTGACTGGTGTTGTCAGCACCACGCTCACCCAGTGAGTTAACCGGCCATCCCTATATGGGATCCGAACCCGGGGCCTTGGTGTTATCAGCACCGCACTCTCCCGAGTGAGCCACGGGCCAGCCCTCAAGGTTC